CCTAACCCCCTGCCTTGAGTGGGGGGACACAGGATGGTGGACACCCGGCTGTACCCCCACACCCCAGTGGAGGGAGGGAGTGCATGGCTAGCCCAGACAATGCTGGGGGTGCAATGGGGTGCAGCATGGGGTGTTTGGCATGTCAGTACTGGGGTGCAGTGGCGTGTGGTGGGGGGTGCTCGGCGTGTCCGTGACTCAAGCGCCACGCAGCACTGCATCCCTGCGTGTTCACCATCACCATGGCAACCGCCAGGCAATCAGCAATAATTGCGCACGTTGGCCTGGCAACAGGGCCAAATAAACCCAATCTCTCATTTTGGGGGGCCGGCAGGGGGCTGGTGGGGGAGAAAAAAAGGGGGGCAACTGCTGATTGCCCTCTCTGGCTCTTTATTGGGGTCAGTAGCAGTGGGGGTGCATGCCCCACCCTTAGGTATCCAACAGCACCCACGTCTTCTGGAAGGCGTCGAGGGAGGTAGTGGCAAGCCACCCAGATAGGCATGGGGCGACTTCGGGGGTGACTCCTAGTTCAGGCACCAGGGGTGGTGCTACCCACAGTGCCACTGCTCCTCCAGCCTGTCCTAGCTGGCAACAATGCCATGGATGAGGACACCCCTGGGCACCACCCACCACAGTTGCTTGTCCTCAACCAGCCTGCTCATGGTGTGGTCTGTCCCCGTGTTGATGACAACACACAAAGCCTTGTACCTCTTCACCAGCTTGGTCCCCATCACATCCAGAGCTGGCTCTTGTCCCTGGAGCCCTGATGGAGGAAGAGGGCTTGGTTTCCATAATGTCCTTCTGCATCACAGTGATGACATCACCCATGGCATCAGGATTTGGTTCCCTTTCTCACTGGAAGAGCTTTGGGGGTCCTCTGAATCTCCATGTGGCAGTACCTGCAGCCATAGGGACCAAAGTGCAGGGAGGCTGCTCAGGGTGAGGGCTCAGGGAGAAAACTGTCCCCAGGGGAGAGAACTGGACCTCAGGGAGAGGACCGGGACCAGGACTGGAACAAGGCTGACACAGGTCTTGACTGGATGCTGAAATGGGGCAAATCTCTCTGTCTGGGAGGCGGATGCTGTCTCAGGGGCAGAGAAAGGAGAAAAAGATGTGCCTTATAGCCCAGAAGGCATCAGTATAAGAAGAGCTCCTAGAGGGCCAGAGATCCGCAGGGACCAGGAGAGATCCCAAGGGCCACTGAAACTCCCCAGGAACCAGCAAAGCTCCCCAAGCACCACTAAAGCTCTCCAGAGGCCATGAGAGCTCCCTGAGGGCCAGCAGAGCCCCAGGTGGGTGTAAGGGTGCCCTGGACAGTGCAGGTGACCCTAGGTACAGGTTCCAGAGTGAGGCAGAGAGGCCAGAGGGTCAGGGCTGGCTGCCGGTGCTAGGGTGCAGACAGCAGGGACCGGGGGTGCCGGGGTGCAGGCAGCCCCCTCCACCGCTCACAGGCATCATTAGCAAAACTTGCCGGTTTCTAAAAATGGCATGTCGGTGCCGCGGCGGC